CGTTCAATCTGGCTGGACCTTGGTGGCCCTGGGCTCCCAAAGCTATCCTGTGGCCATCCTTCTAAAAGCAAGGCTGCAGTATGCCTTGCCAGTAAGGTGTGGAAAGGCTTCTTCCAACCTCCCGAAAGCTCAGCCACCTGGCCTCAAAACTCTTGGGCTGAAGGCACAGGTGACCAGTCTTCAGGTGACCTGGGTAGGGGGAGGAGGCAGAAGAAAGGGGACAACCTGGCTGAGGGCATTCCTCTGTCTGTCCATGCCCAGCCTAGTAGCCTGTCCTCAAAGACAGCAGGCAAGCTGCTTCTAGGTCTTGCGGGGTGTCACAGGATCTGGAGGGCTTTGGGAGCTATAAAGTTCACTATAGGAAGACTCTGTCTCCCCGTCCCCACCCTGGCCTCCCCACCAATGGAACCCTGAGCCTACTATTAGAGATGCAAATGTGTGGTTGACCCTTTATCTGCTCTCAGTCCTAAAATTCCTCCAGGGAAACTTTCCCACGTGGACTAGGGTGAGAGAGTGAGAAAAACTAGCTCCAGCATTCACCACTCAGAGATAGCCCGAGACCTGTAACCTCTAGGGTTGGGATTTCCTTAGCCAGGGGCTCATCAGGCATGACCTCAGCCTGTCCAAAGACAAACTTCCTTGTGTATTTAGTAGATCTTTACTTTTTTTTTGAAATAGGGCCCAGGCTGATCTCCAACTTCTGGCCTCAAGTGATTCTCCCAGTTTGACCTCCCAAAGTGCTGGATTTACAGATCTTTAAGAACACCTGTTGTATGGCAGCCTCTGAAACTCCCTGTGGGATAACATAAAGGAGGGCCCCTGCTCTCTCAGAGCGTCTGTCCTGGTGGGCAAGAGAGACATATCACTAAGCACACAGACAGAGGGACAAGGTAATATCTGTTTGTGACAAGTATTACGCATATAGCAAAGCAAGGTGATGTGGTAGCAAGAGACAAAGGATTCCTGAAGACATTTCAGGCTGGGGACATTTGAGAAAGGTTGTGTCTTCTTTCCACTGAATTATTCTCTTCTGAGAGGTTCCTTGGGATCCATTCTCTGGAGGTTTGTTTGAACTAAGTGCTGAAATAAGCATCTCAATACATATCATTTTGCTTTTGCTAGTTTGAGGTCACTAGCGTGTAAGCCCCATGAGCTCCACACTGGTACACAACAGACATTCAATAAATACTGGATGTGTTATTATTGATCAGATGTTGTCTTGATTGGGCCACCTCTACTCTCAGACCCTGAGATGAGAAATTGGATGTAAATAGTTTACCTAGAAAGTGATTTTCAGATGCACCTGTAAGGTGGTGAGGATGTGAGACAGGGAGGAGAGAGAAAGAAGCCAGTAAGCATTCATGAGCGCAGGTTGCCACTGGCGTTCAATTGTGCTGGAGATCTTAGGGAGCTCCTCAAGAGGCTAGGGGATTGACTGTATATCCACACTCCTGTCTTTTATTGTGTGAGGGCCCTCTGGAGAAGCAGGGGTAGAGGGGTGTTAATTCCCTAGAGGAATTAACATGAATTAAGAGGGGGTGTTATGGCACCTGCTGCAGGTATAGATGCTTGAGTGGACTGGCTAGGTCATAGGAGACACATTTTCAACATGCTTTTCAACTGTTCTCCAAAGAGGCTGCCCACTTACTTTCCTACTGCTGGTGTGTAAGTCCACAGAATATTATCCAGCTTAAAAAAATTGTGATATGGGCTGGTTGCAGTGGCTGATGCCTGTAATCCTAGCACTCTAGGAGGCTGAGGTTGGTGGATTACTTGAGCTTAGGAATTTGAGACCATCCTGAGCAAGAGTGAGACCCTGGCTCTACTAAAAATAGAAAAACTAGCCAGGTGTTGTGGTGGGTGCCTATAATCACAGTTTACTTGGGAGGCTTAGGCCAGAGGATGCCTTGAGCTCAAGAGTTTGAGGTTGCTGTGAGCTATAAGTCCACGGCACTCTACCCAGGGCAGCAGAGTGAGACTGTCTAAAAAAAAAAACTGTGATAAAAACATATCACATAAAATTTATCATCATAACCATTTTTAATTGTATAGTTCAGTGGCATTAAGTGCATTCACATTATTGTGCAAGGATCACTAGCATCCATTTCCATAACTTTTTTCATTCTGTATAATTGAAACTCTGTATCCTTTAAACCCTAACTCTTCCCCTCCCCCCCTTCCCCCAGCACAGCTTGCAGTGCATCCTTTTAGGGTGTGTTCGTGGTTTTTTTTGTGCAGCATGCTATTGAGATTCATCCCTGTGTTGAGTATATCAGAAGTCTGTTCCCTTTTATTGCTGAATAGTATTCCATCCATAGGATATACTTTGTTTCTGAGACAGGGTCTTGTTCTGCTGCCTGTGATAGTGTGCAGTGGTGTCATCATCGCTCACAGCAACTTCAAACTCCTGGGTTCAAGTGATTCTCCTGCCTTAGTCTACTGTGTAATTGGCACTACAGGTGCACACCACCACACCTGGCTAATTTTTCTTTTCTCTCTCTTTCTTTCTCTCCCTATCTCTTTCCTTCTCCCCTCTCTTTCTTTCTCCCTCTGATGCTCAGGCTAGACTGCCATGGCCTCAGCCTAGCTCACAGCAACCTCAAACTCCTGGGCTCAAGTGATCCTCCTTTCTTAGCCTCCTGAGCAGCTGAGACTACAGGCACCTGCAACAATACCTAGAAAAATGGCTAATTTTTCTATTTTTAGTAAAATATCCAATGCAGAGGCCTAAACAGGGCATTCAATTTGGAGTCTGCCATCTTTCTCTGTCCTCCATTTCCAGAACCTCAAATGGGCATATGTTCCCTCCTCATCCCCAAATGCCAAGACCGTCTTTCTGTCCTCTGTGCATGCAGGCTCCTTGAGTTTTAGGAAGAATGAGCTGTGTGCATGTGTGCATGGTGGGGCAGCAGTGGGGCAGAAGAGATGGTTCTTTGGGATGGGGTAAGGAATGGCTAAGGCTGGGGTCTTGTTGGACCAAGGAGTCCATCTGCCTGTCACCAAGCCAAAAAAAGGAGACATGGATGAGAGACCAACAATTCCCCTTTTATTTACAGAAAAGCCAGCACTTCTGGAGAGCAGTGAAGATATCTCTTCAAAGAATTGTTCTGCCCTGCTGTATCTCTTTGTTACTTTTATTTTTATACCTTTATAGCCAAAACAAGCATCAGCAGTGTTAGTAATCAGCATAGCATACATTAAACAGATCCCCCTTCCTGTAGATTACAGGTTAAAATATCTCCTGTTTTCAAGGTGACTGTATCTTCAAAGTATTTCTACTTAGACTGAATTTACAGCTAGTCAATGCTTCACTGGGTACACAGAGTGCCCTGAGTCCTTGATGGGCACCATGGAGTCCAGTCTCTTAACTTACTTATTTATGACCGTAGGCCTTGAGTGAATTAAACAGTCCCAAGATGTCAGCACGTAGGCACATCCAGCCTTATTAGGGTCATCTTTCCAGCAGTGCCCTGTATGAAGTGGCCACTTAGGATAACAGTGGCTGCTATCAGGAGGGGTGAAGACTCAAAGCTCATTGAGGTAGAATGAGGTGGGGACTTGGTCGACAGAGGGGACGAGGCCAGATCCTCAGTTACAAGGGGAAGTACAGGGGGACTCTTCAGGTGACCAGCACAAGGCAGCCAAGGATGGCCATCCCCTCTTCAAATCGTCTCTGCTCCTTCAGCCATTGACGCCTCCCAGCCCACGTGACGTTGGCCTCCCCAAGCTGGGGTCTCCCAGGAAGCCTTCTGAGAGTTAGGAGGATGGGGGTGCTCTGCCCTGCAAATAATGGGTCAATCACCCTTCTCTGCGTCTTCTGCCCCTTTTTCTCTCTCCCCCGTCCTTCTTTCTCGCTTCCCAAGAATTTGGGGTTGACCTGGCATCCCCGAAACTACCAGGGCTATATTCCCCCCGCAACCCCCTCCCCACAACCACATCCCTCGGTTAGGGTTCGTTTTGAGGGTTGGGAAAAGCCTTTAGGTATGAGGGAGGCGAATGGCCCCAGGGACTCTGGGCGGCCTGGGCTCCGCAGACGCGAAAGCGATGACAGGGCCCAGGGACACCGAGCGGCCGGATTGGTCGGTGGGCCCGAGCGGTGGTTCCTCCTCCTAGTTGCCAGGACCCAGCCTATCCGCGTCCAGGCGGTCTTTGGTCACCCGGCGTCTGGGGAAGAGGTCGGAGCAGGTGTGTGCGTCGGGAGGACAGGTGAGGGACCCTGGAGATTTGCCTTCAGTCCCGTCCGTTTTGTCTCTGGGGTCCTCAGGCCCAGCCGGGGAAAACAAGCCTCTTGCGGACCACAGAGAAGCGGCTGCTCTCTTCAACACGCATCTCCTCCCACACACTCCTCTCGGCTCGCTCCCGCCGTCCGCGCTCCCGGGTTTGGCTCGAGCGCGCGCCCCCGTCTCCCCCGCCCGCCGCCGAGGGGCGGGGACGCTCTGGTCCCCCAGCACTGCAGCCTCTTCCCATCGCTTTTCGCCGTTCGCGGCCGGCACGGCGATCCGGCCGGGCCCCACCTTAGGCGACCCTGGAGTAGAGCGGCGGGAGGCTGGAGCCGAAGGTGAGTGCGCTGCTAGCAGGTGGAGCGGCAGCGAGCAGTCTAGGGCTCAGCTGGGGGAGGGGTCGGGCCCGGGACGCAGCTCTTTGTCTCCCAGAGCCAGTTCGCCGGCAGCGGGGCGGCTCTTCCTCTGGGCAGGTGCTGGCATCCCTGCGGGAGGCCAGGGAAGGGCGGTAGAGGTTGGCGGGGCCCTCCAGGCGTGTGCTCCAGTCCCCCCAACTGGAACCTGTGGCAGCCTGCTATTCCCGAGGCTGGTCGCCTGGATCCCTAAGGGGCGAGGGGTAGGGGCGTGGATGATGTTCTGAAAGGGAGCTGTGGTGCGGAGGGCCTCTCATCTTTGGGGGAAAGCGGCGGGGCGGCACTTGGGGACAACGAGGACCTGCCCGGCTGGTGAGTGGGTGTGGGTGAGTGGGAGGGGAGCAGATCGAAGTAGAGACCGAGGTTTGGGTGCCTGTGGGTAGCGAAGCAGGGAGTCAGATCCCTACCCGCAGGGAAGCTGTCCGAGACCTGGGACTGATCTGCCTGTCTCCTGTTCAGGTGCACGATGGACAAGAGGGACAAGGCCAAGGCGGGGCCTGGCGCGCGGACGCCCGCTCCCCGCCCTCCCAGCCTTCCCACCCCGAGGCCACCAGGGACTCCACGACCTCCTCCCCCAATAACCCCTGCAGCCCTCCGAATTATGGGAGCAGTGGGAGCAGCAGGGAGAAAGCCTCTGCCAGAGCGAGCCGGGGGCATCCGGGGAGCCACTCTTGTGGAGGCTGCACCTGGAGGGGGATCAAAACGGAGCGCTGGAACAAGTCACCGGAACCCAGGTACCCCAACCTCATTCCTCAGTTCTGACCCCCTTCTTCCTGCCCTTTCTTCTGAACCCCCACATCCACCTCTTTCTGGGACACGGTTGACTCAGACTTCTCCTCCTCAGCCTCCAGACCCTCGGCAGCCGCTGAGAAAGGGGAGAGGGCCCCTGGCAAGACTCCCAACCTGGCTTCTCTTTCTAGCCTGGGGCGTGCCAGCGGGACCACCAGGTAATATCTTCCTCTCTTCTGGTCTCCTAAGCAAGGATTAGTGTTGCAGGCAATCTTTATGGTTACAGGAGTTGGGGCAAGAGAGCTCTTTCAGATCACTGGGTGCAAATTGGGTGAACGCCATTATTGGTCCTCAGAGACGGTATAACTCCCATTTCACAGATGGAAAAATATAAATTTGGGAAGCTACATAGGGACCTTGGGCTCTGCCCTGAGCATGGTCCCTTCTGTCTCCAGGCAAGGTTCCCTTGGGCAAAAGGGAGTCCGGCCGCCAGCAGAGGAACCTGTGGCCAAAGGAAAAGCCGCGGAAGCTCCCGGAAGGAGCACTCTGAGTGCTGGGGCACGGAGAGGTACGTAACCTGCACAGCAGTGGGGTTCCTGGGCAGTGAGGGGGCCTGGGTCTGAGGGATTGGTGACGCTCTGGCCTTCTACTTTGTGTCCAGACTCTTCGGGGCCTACCCCAGGCACTTCCTCCCCAGCCATGGCCCGTCGGTCTCGGACTGGGGGCCCTGAGGTGGGATCCCCCAGGTCAGCTCTGAGTACCCGGCTACGGCCTCCAGCTGAGACCCCCAGAAAATCAATGAGCAGCACAGCGGAGCACAGTACCACAGAGCCGAGCCCAGCTGCCAGGAGGCGGCCCAGCGCTGGTGGGGGGCTCCAGAGGCCAGTCTCGCGGCCCCTGGGCTCCAGCACCACTCCTTTGTCCTCCCCAGCCCGCTCTGGGGCCTCACCCCGTGTGACATCCCAGGCTCCTGCACATCCCTTGAAGCCCAAGTCAAAAGGGCTGCAGGCTTTGCGGCCCCCGCAGACCACAGCCTCACGAAAGGACGCAGTCCCTGCGCAGAGCCAGCTTTCTCCTCCTCTTTTGGCCACACCCTCTCCACTGGGTCCGGTAGCACGACAGGCACCTTCTCCCCCTGTCACATCCTCTCCTTTGCCGGCCACGCTCCCTCCCTCTCCACCGACTACGCCCCCTCCGCCCTCCACACCCTATCTTCAGGCTCCGCCACTCTCACAGGACCTTACCTGTCCTTTGGACACGCCCCTTCCTCTAGCCCCGGCTTCTCTTTCTACTCCACTTTCTCCGCAGACCCTCCCCTCTCCGCCAGCCACGCCCCCTTCTCAAACTCCACCCCCACACTTGGATACTCCCTTTCAGGAGGGTTCCGTCTCTCCGGCCACAGCCGCTTTTTTGACTCCATTCTATCCATTAGTTTCACCCCCTCTGCAGAGTATGCCCCCTACCCAGGATCCTCCAGCTGTGCCCTCTCTTCCGATTCTCCCCTCTCCTGTGGCCATACCTCCTCTCTCAGCTCCTCTACCACCCGTCACGCCTCCTTTACAAGCGCCTCCTTCTCCTGAAACATCTCTGCTAAATCCCCTCTCTCCCACTCTGACAGCCCTTTCTGCTCTAACCACGCCCACTCCCCAGGCCAGTCCTTCCCTGTCTCCTCCCCTTCCCAAGACCACTCCCCCCACAGTGGCCACATCTCCCTCACAGGACCTTCCTCTTCTGGCCGCATCCCCTCCAGAGGCCTCTTCTCCTTTGGCCACACTGTCTCTGCAAGGATCTCTAGTTTCTCCCTCTCTCTTGGCCTCACTGGAGGCTCCTTCTCCTCTAGCCACCCCCTCCACGCAGGCCCTACCTTCTCTGACCACGCCCCCCACGCAGGTCCCTCCCTCTCCCGGATCCTCATCCTCTTTGCAGTACTTATTTTCTTTGGACTCACCTTCTCGCCAGGCCACACTTTCTTTCCTACCAGTGCCCCCTGTGCAAATCCATCCTTCTCTGATCTCGCTCCCTCTGCCGGCTTCTCCTTCTCCTGTCTCCCCCACTCTGCCGGCCCCCTCCTCTTTTTTGACCATGCCCCTTCTGCAGGCTCCTCCTTCTCCCCCTGCCTCTCCTTTGCTGCAGGCCCCCAGGTCTCCTTTGGCCACGCCCCCTCCACAGGCCCAATCTCTGGCGTTGCGGTCTCTGCAAGCCCTGCCCTCTTCCCTGGCCACGTCCTCTCCACAGGCTCCACCTTTTCTGGCCTTACCTTCTCTGCAAGGCCCTTCCTCTCCCACTGCTTCACCTCCTCTGCAGACC